AAGAAATGAAGGCAAAGAACTACCCTACCAGAGGTTCAAAATCATGAGTTATGAGAATGTTGTTCGGCCTCATGTCGCGGTGGATGATACAACCAACTCTGCACTCTTCGTGAAGATACCTTAACCCGCGAGCAGCTCCAACAGCAATTTTCTGCCTCGCTGACCATTCTAATGGATCTCTTTGTCGCCCTGAATTATTACAAAGTATTAGATCAATATAGAATCGAAATGGTATCAGTTCCATGAATTCAATATTATATTGCAACTACCATATAAATGTGAATCCAATGATCCATTGCATATGTACTCGTAAACCAGAAGCCTTCTCTTATCCTCTATACAGAATCCAATCAGCATAACAACATTTCGGTGCTGAGCACAGCTCAGGACTTCTACTTCAGAGCAAAACTCAACATCACCTTGAGAACTAGCCAATTTATGTTGCTTGACAGCAATGACTTGTCCTTCTGGTAGAACCCCTCGATGAACCGATCCATACCCTCCTTCTGCCAAGAAGTTGGCTTGTGAAAATCCCCCGGTAGCGAGTTCCAACTCAGCATAGCTGAACCACCTTGGAGGTTTTCCAAAAACAGGTGCCTTGTGTTGACATATCGAACACAATGGAGGTGGACCAAGTGGAGCATTTCCTGATAATGCTATCGCTTCTCTTAAATTACCACTAAAATCCGAGTCATTTCTATATGCTGCCGACATTTCCATTCCAGCTCCTCTATCAAGCCTAGAATACTTTTCTAGCAAAGCCTTGGTTGTAGTTGCCTGAGGCATACCATGATACGCCTCTGATCTTTCTCCGTTGCGTTGAGATGATTGTTGATGTAAAAGCAATTCTGTGATCCACGGTTGGTATCTAAAGCTAGCCGAAGATGTCGACAGACTTTCACTTTCTGTGTCTGATGTATCACAAAGTTCATGACTTTCCTTAATGGTTTCTTCTCTCTTCGTCTCACCATTCATCTCTGGAATACAGAACGGTGAAGTTCCAGGATCTGAGCTTGAAGCTGATGAAGTACCGGCTTCAGTAGTAGCGGTGAATGGCGTCCCTAGCTCGGGGCTGCTAGTCGGAGTAACATTCGGTCCTTTGATAGAATCTACTACAGAATCCATCTTGTTTTCGGACTGTTTTTCAGGTATATCACCTTGCTCAGAAGGTGATGTACCCGCTTCTTCAACTTCCTTCTTTTGTGCTCCAATCAAGTTCAAATGAAGCACTTTCGGTTGAGTACGCTTCATAACAACAATGTTACACTGCAACTCTTCCATGCATCTCTTTTCCTCATGTTTGAGATGTCTGCAAAAAAGCAACATCAAATTCCAACATATCAATAACTGGGTTATAGTTACAATGTATGAAGCAAAGACACGATTCAGACAATGACACGTATACAATAGTGTGATTCTTAATGAGGAAAAGATAAGAGAGATTATTACTTGTCTAAAACAACCCAACTGGCTTGTCCTTTCTTGGCTTCTGTGGCCACTGATCCGCAAGGTGATCCAGAAATAATTTTAATCCTGACATTTATCTGTTTGAAAAGGTTTAACATAAGGATTAATATCTTCAAAATTCAAATTGCATGAACCTTTTACACGCCAAAACCAAGGGTACTAGAACTAACCTTATTCGGATCATAGACATCGTGGAGCTGAAGTATCATTTGAGAGCAAGAATCAGTGATATCACTCTTGTGCTCTAAAATTGTTCCTGGAGGATACTTCTTCATACCACTGGCACAGTCACCAGCAAATCTAGGAAAACCCCATCTTCTACCTGCAGGTAGAAAAAACATGGGGGTTTAATTTGGATACACTGATAATGTAAAATAGTTTTACACAGACAATAAGTAACAAGAAAAAGAAGCACATCAATAACCAGCTCATCTCTCACCATTCAGGCACACATCAATAACACAAGCCTTATCACTCAAATTTCACGAACCCTCACAACTGCAACTTAACCTCACAAACCCTCATTACAGCTACTCAAAATCACGAATATCCGTCAACACAAAGACATCATAACGCTCACAAACAACACAGAGAATCAACGGATAGCAGAAACTGAAAAAAGAAATATTACCGGATACAAATGAAGAGAGGGATGACGAAGACGTAGGTGAGATGACAAAGGGTTGAGTTCGACGGAGAATGAGATTTGGTTGTTCTTTCTTTTCGGTGTTTCCTCCTTCTGTTTGAGTGTCGTTTGAGAAGTGAATCTGAATCTGAATCGATGGTGAATCCTATGGCTGAAGAATGGATCCGGGTGAAAACCGAAGGAAGGGATGACGGTGGTAAATCAATGACTAACGGCGGTGAATCAATGAAAACCGAAGGAAGCAGAGGAAGATTTGACAGCGGTGAATCAGTTGGGAGAATCAATGGCTAAGAAGGAAGCAGAGGAAGATAGTGTTTTTGTTTTTGGCGGTGAGTGAATGCGGGAAACACAATTTTCTGAAAATGTGTTTTTATTTTTTATTTTTATCAATTAATTAATTAATTCATTATTATATATAACATAGCGCTTTTTAATAAATGTTATTATATACGTAGTCAAATAATAGCGTTTTATACAAAATGCTATCTTAAAGAAGTTTAATAATAGCGTTCTGGTACAAAGTGCTATCATAATTACATAGTCTGTATTATATAATAGCGCCCGATTAAAAAGTGCTATTATAAATGTGTTTTTTCCATTTTAATAGCATTTTTTTTAAAAGGGCTATTAAATTAGGTGATACAAAAAATCATTTTTGGCGTAGTGAATACTACAAAAACGAATTCAAGTAAATATTATTTTATATTTTAGAACAATTACAACACCTTACATGAGGCATAATCAAATGATCATGATTCTCCTAATCATGGAAATGGAGTTTCTCCTGGAATGTTGCCAGCAGGATAATAATTGCAACTAATGAATGTCCCTCCATTATCACACTTCACTTTAGCACATCCAACACGTAGTGATCTTGACCAAACCACTTGGGTATAATGACTACATTCACCACCTTCACACTTGTTCTCATAGGAGTTATAGTGGGGATTTTCAGCCACCCACAAGTTCACTGCTTCCACGCCACTCATATTACCAGGGCTTACTGCAATATTCTCGCCGTAACGGCCACCACTGTCGGAAGGGGTCACTTTACAATCCTTGCGTTGATTAGCATAATTTTGAGCAAAAACGGCAATTTTGTCATCCCAAACAAGATCTGTAAGATTCCAAACTATTGCTTCTCTTGCTAAGTTGTGCGTGTTCACGAAATCTGCCGGCGAGTCTTGAGCATGTGCAATATGACTACTTCCCACAATGAGTATTAAGCCTAAGATACACCATAAAGAAAATGAACCCATCTTAATTTTCAAAATAGATTTCTAAATGTTTGGTGAAAATTGTTGGAACTCTAGTGATGTTTTTATAGAGGAATTTTGACATAAATGTTTTTTAAAAAATAAAGAAAAATTAGGTAATAAATATTTTATTTTATTAAAAAAGTATATATAGTAATATGTATATTTTATACTATATGAAAAATATTTTATTTGTCGTTTTAATATTTTCCTATATTATTATATTATAATCAAATGTGTAATAAACTTGTGAAATCTATAGAGAATAAAACTAAAACAGACAGTAAAATATTCAAAATAATTTACTATAAGTTGTCTCTATATTTCTTTATAGATTAACTAATTAAATATCTTAGTTTTTAAATTCAAATTTTTAAAATAATGATTAAAAGGGATTGCATATCCAATATTCAATTATAGAAGATCTTTATTTTTGAGAAAGTACAATGTTTAATGACGAACATGAATATTTAAACTAAAAGAGAAATATGCACAAATGTTGACGTTGAATCAATATAAATATATTCCACCAAACTAACACTACGCCAAAAATGATTTTTTGTATCACCTAATTTAATAGCACTTTTTAAAAAAATGCTATTAAAATGGAAAAAACACATTTATAATAGCACTTTTTAATCGGGCGCTATTATATAATACAGACTATGTAATTATGATAACACTTTGTACCAGAACGCTATTATTAAACTTCTTTAAGATAGCATTTTGTATAAAACGCTATTATTTGACTACCTATATAATAACATTTCTTAAAAAGCGCTATGTTATATATAATAATGAATTAATTAATTAATTGATAAAAAAAAAAACAAAACACATTTTCAGAAAGTTATTTCAATTAGAAACCGAAACAAAATAAAAAAACACAGGAAGGAGAAAAGTCATTCCAAATCCATTACTTGACTGGCCTCCGACGACACGCCGGCGACCGCGAGCGACAACTCAACTGCTTCTGCAACAGCACAATATCGACGCACTCCGCCCCCCTGTAGCTCACCGGCAGCCACCACTGGGCGTTCGACTCCGACCTCCATCTCCAGCCACTCTCGGTTTTGCTTGCAGGTAAGCAATTTTTTTCCTCTATTTTCTCGATTTGTTGTCCTTGTTGTTGGAGAACTTAAATGCTTGATTTGAATCTTGGATTTCTATTTTGTTGTTGTTCTTATTTTAAGAGAAAGATTGATTTTGTTTTGGGGTTGAAATGGATGAGAGATAGAAAAAACCATGGTTATTGTTCTGCAAGTTGTGGTCTTTTGTGAGAGAGAGTAAGAAGAAGAAGTATCATTGTCTAGAAAGAAAAGAGAGAACTAACATTTCTCTCTCAAGATGTGTGCATTATAATTTGTTTTCTTATAATAATAGTTGCCATTTCTCAAAATTTCCTTGGGTGGGCATAAGCACTTCTTAAAATAATTCTCTTATAATAGTCATTGGATAGTATATATAGAAGAACATATAATAATGATGGTAAGTTAAAATTGACTTGGAATGATATTTATTCAATTTAAATATTAAATTCACCCATCTTGAATAACACATTTCATGTACAGTCAAGCAAGCACATATACATATATAATGCAATAAGGGAAAAGGTATAAACTACAAAAGCATCAAGGTGACCAAAAGTTACCACCACCACAGAGTAAAAACCTACCAGATTCAATTCTACTTCTTAGCATCACCCTGTCAATCAACAAGCTCTCAGCTGATGATTGGAAACTATAGTCACACATGTCACCATAACTTGATCTCATACTTGGCAACTTTGAAACACTTTTTTCAAACTTTTTTATGTATTGTTGGATATCTTGTTGAGCTGTAGTGCCTTCAGATGGTTTCTGTGCAAAGGAGAAGCAGTATTTAGAGTCAGTTTCTTTGCTATCAGCAGTTGAGCTGACTTGTTCATGGATAGCTTCCTCGGAATCAATGCTGGCTGGTGGCTGCATTGTGTCATAATGGATATGGTGTGATTGTTCTCGAGTGCCGGATTGCTGCAAAAATGTAAAACATATAGATTATGCAAGAAAAGAATAAAAAGATGCACTTGTTAAGTAGAAAGTAAATTACTGACGAAATTTGAAGGCGGAGTATTTGAACTTGCCTCGGTTAAACGAGATGGAGTAGGTGGACCAACCATACTGAGCGGAGGATCCTCTTGAGATGAAAAGTCCGAACTATCGAATGTTGATAGTGATACACACTCGTCAAAATAAGCCTTGGCATCTTCTGCAAGACGTTTCGACATCCTTTTTCTTTCAATGCTAGACTGTAACCGTGTTTTGGATTCATCAATAATGGGATAGAAACATCTAATGTAACATGTGGAGTAAATATAATGTGAAAGGAACCTACTTTTCTTGATGGACGAGACTTTGGTATATTAGGAGTCTTGGGATATGGAAGAACTTCTCTCAAGATTCTATCCAGTTCTCGCACTCGATGTTCTTCAACTGCCAGATCTGCTCTAAGACGTCTAGCTCGCTCTTTGGCCTGTAAATATGACAAGTTCTGCTCAATATAAAAGAACGAGACGTTAACCATACTTCATCTTCAAGTATAAATGGGAATACTACCTCTTCAAGCTTTTTGGTATACTCTCTTCTAGTCTCCAATGCTAATTCTATTGTACCAGGGCTTAGCAAGTCAGGATGAATATCAGCCATATCGGTGACAGTAACGGCTGTAGCGTTACTCACTTGAATAGCCTAAAATTCCCGAAACAAGAAGCAAGTTAGAGAATAGCATAGGATGAATCACAATTAGTTATATCAATAGGCAGTTAACTTCAAGCTGGCAAGGAGAAAGTTATAGTCTCATGAAACTTACACTTTCGAGGTCAATCTGAATCTCAGAAATAGCCCGCCTAACTTCAGAACGAACTGTTTCATATATATCACTGCCTCCTAGCTGATCCCTTTGTACTGACTGCACAAGTCAAAATAGGGCGACTTTATACAAAAAAGTCAATTTCAAGCATACGTAGATAAGAGTAGGACTACAACAAAGAGTAAAAGATTTCCTATAGAAATACAACCTACATTTTGTACACAAACCGCTTTGATAGTTTTCTCATCACAACCAAATTTCCTGTCGCCATTAGTGCACCAGTTGACTCTGGCTTTCTCCTTCCAAAAAGCCTCTTCTATATCAAGGGCTTCATTGAGAGCTTCCTGCGGCTCCTTCTCTTGATGTTGCAGAACTTCAGAGTACCCCTGACTAGCGAGGGTGTCCTGAATTTTGATAAGGTTGTCTTCAGCAATTTTAACTTTTTCCTGCACATTACCAAAACTGTTTTTGTTCCACTCTTTTAGATTAGCTTTAAGAATCCTCAGATTTTTGTCTAAAACATACACGTGACAACCATACACTTTGGAATGCCATGTTTGAGAAACGAGATTCAAGCAATCTTTGTGAAGGGTCCACATATTCATGAATTTAAAATTAGATGTGACTTTAGGATCATTATACTCGAAGTTTAGAAGCAGGGGATAGTGATCAGACTTGTTTTTGACAAGAGTATGGCAGGATGTTGAGGAGCAAGTATCGATCCAATGGAAATTACAGACAGCTCTATCGAGCCTTTTCTCAGAATGCTTACGGCCCAACCTACCATTGCTCCAAGTAAAAGGATTCCCCATAGTAGGCAAGTGAATTAAATGATCGGTATCAGACCAACTATGGAAATCCTTCATAGGAGTACTATCAGGGGTGTTTGAACCATGATACTCCTCGGCCTCAATAATGGAATTAAAGTCCCCAATAAAGCACCAAGGGTATCCTTAAAAATAGGAGCAATATTGTGCCACAGATGCCTTCTGGTAATGTAGCTTGTGGAAGCATACACGGCCGAAAGACCAAAAACTTTATTGTTATCAACAATAGTGAAGGAGACATGTTGACTATCTCTCAACAAAACAGTAGGGGTGATATTAGACTTACAAAAGCACCATAAGTTAGGCAAAAGATCATGCGTATAATTCATGGCAAATAGCTTAAGGTTGAGCTTCTTAAGCCAAGTTTGAAGGAATTTAGAAAAGTCCATCCAAGGTTCTGCTACCAAAACCAAGTCTAGATTGTTAACAGAAATTAATCTTTTGAGAGCAAGTCTGGAAGAGGCATTTGCAATTCCTCTAATATTCCAGAATATGCACTTCATGAGAAAGGATTAGATGTACTAGGTTTATCCCTAGTTAATTTCTTCTTCTTGGATTTTTTCGAATTCCTTTTTGAACTAACAAGTTTGAAGCCATCTGTTTCCAAACTCACCTCCTAAGCAGCCATATTCGCCCATGATTCAGATAAAAAAATTTGTATGTTGCTGTCATTTCCTTGCAGATTGGGTTGTGTCTCTTCCACTCTTAATTTATTAATAAACAAACTATTTTGGGCTTTTGGGTTATGCGCAATAGCCCGACTTATACACCCTCAAAGACGGTTCTTTTTATTGGCATTTTATTTTCATAAGAAGTGCTTATAGATAAACAAGTGATGATAGAACCTACACTTGACATCCATTCAGTGACTTCTTTGATACCACGATGCTGAGAAAGTGCAACAACATAAATCTCCATTCTGTTACACGTACTAAGAACAGCTGCTTCTTCAATATGATTCAAACCACAAAGCTCACCAATGGCTCTTGGCCATTCAACTTCTGGTATAGCAAGTTTCTCACGCAACTCCACCGGTGTAGTATGCACACTCAGCCCAATCACCACAAGGCTGCTATTTTCCTTCGTATATCCTGCTCAAACTCAAGTTCATCATAAAGTCAAAATCAAATTCATAATCTCATATGGATCATAAAGTCAAAATCAAATTCATAATCTCATATGCTATATGACTCTTAAATACATAATTTGGTTGTTAGAACCAATTTTTAACTAGTTATATATGTTACTTGTTAGGAAATATGGATCGAAAATGGATGTTTGCCAATCGAGCGTCAAAAGAATATGAAGATGGAGTTCGTGAGTTCGTTAGGTTTGCTATTGCTCATGCTGAAGACACTAGTAAAATCATATGCCTTTGCTTAGAATGTTGTTATACGGATGTTAGTGCAAATGTTTTGGAAGATAACTTAATATGTAATGGAATTGATAAAAGCTACACATGCTGGATAATGCACGGGGAAAAAAAAACCAAGTCCACAAAAAGGAGCAATGGGAGAGATTCATCAAATGATTTTGAAAAAGATACGAATTATGCGTTTGATCGAGTTGAAGAATTTGTCAATGTAATTGAGGAAGATCTTCGTGATTGTCCTCAAATGTTTGAGCGGATAGTAAGTGATGCAGAGACTCCGTTGTATGATGGATGTACTAAATTCACAAGACTGTCAACGGTCTTAAAGTTGTATAACTTAAAAGCACGCCATGGATGGTCCGATAGGAGCTTCACAGACTTGTTGACTCTGTTAAAGGATATTTTGCCTGAGAACAACGTGCTCCCTAGTCGAACGTATGAGTCTAAACAATTGTTATGTTCTATTGGCATGAGTTACGAGAAGATACATGCTTGTCCAAATGATTGCATTTTATTTCGCAAGGAGTATGCATCATTGAATATGTGTCCTAAATGTAGTGCCCCACGCTATAAGAAGAAAGAAACAGCTCCAGCCAAAACGTTATGGTATTTTCCGATAATACCAAGATTTAGGCGCATGTATCATAATGCAGAAGACGCAAAGAACTTAACATGGCATGCAAATGAAAGGGTTGTTGATGGAATGCTCCGACATCCCGCAGATTCTCCTCAATGGGCAAAAATTGATCATGATTACCCAAATTTTGGGAAGGAAGAAAGAAACCTACGTCTTGCATTGTCTACTGACGGAATAAATCCTCATGGTATTCAAAGTAGTAAACTTACTTCTTGGCCAGTCATTTTGTTGATTTATAACCTACCTCTATGGCTATGTATGAAGCGCAAATACACGATGTTGAGTATGTTAATTTCTGGGCCCAAGCAACCAGGAAATGATATAGATGTATACTTGGCTCCATTAATTGAAGATTTAAAGCATATGTGGGAGACAGGTGTGGAGGTATATGATGAGTATAAAAAAGAATCCTTCAACTTGAGGGCTATGTTATTTGGAACAATCAATGATTTTCCTGCCTATGGGAATCTATCAGGCTACAGTGTCAAAGGAAAATTTGCATGCCCCATATGTGAAGATGGTACACATTCAATACGATTGGAGTATTGTATGAAGAATGTATTTCTTGGACACCGTAGATTTTTAAATACCAACCATCATTTTCGAAAATGGAGAAAAGCTTTTAATGGTGAATCAGAAGAAAATAGAGCTCCTTTGGCTTTGACGGGTGATCAATTATACCAAAAGGTAAAGCTTTTGAGCACTAATTTTGGAAAGCCATTTTCAAGTGAACTTGTAAAGGGAGGATGGAAAAAAAAGTCAATTTTCTTTGAATTGCCGTATTGGAAGTCATTGTATGTTAGACATTTCCTTGATGTGATGCATATAGAAAAAAAATGTGTTTGAAAGTGTCGTTGGTACATTACTCAATCTTCCAGGAAAGTCTAAGGATGGCATTAATGCAAGGTTAGACCTGCAAAGTATGGGATTAAGAAATGAGTTACAGCCGGTTAAGAGGGATGGGAAGCGTACATTTCTACCTCCAGCAGCTCATACTCTGTCAAGAAAAGAGAAAAAGATCTTGTGTAAGGTTCTTCACAATGTTAAAGTTCCAGAGGGCTACTCATCAAACATTAAGAGTTTGGTATCTATGAAAGATCTCAAATTGAAGGGTTTAAAGTCTCACGATTGTCATGTTTTAATGGAGAACTTTCTTCCAGTGGCTATACGTTCCATTTTACCTGAAAATGTGCGATGGACCATAACTAAACTTTGTTTTTTCTTCAAAGCTATTTGTAGCAAAGTTATTGACCCTGAGAAGTTACCGACGTTACAAAAGGAAATTGTTGTCACATTATGTGAGCTTGAGATGTATTTTCCACCCTCATTTTTTGACATAATGGTTCATCTTACAGTCCATCTTATAATGGAAACACAATATTGTGGACCAGCTTATATGAGGTGGATGTACCCGATTGAGCGTTACATGAAGATAATAAAAGGGTACGTGAAGAATCGAAGTCGACCAGATGGTTGTATTGTTGAACGATATTTAGTTGAAGAAGCCATTGAGTTTTGTACTGAATACCTCTCTAATATTGAGCCCATAGGGATTCCAATGTCACGACACTCTGGAAAAACAACAGGGGAAGGGATTGGTGCAAGTAAACTAGTAACCATGTCAGACATCGAATTGGAGCAATCACACTTGTATGTTCTACACAATGCTGATGAGGTTAAGCCATATGTTGAAAAGCACAAAGAAATACTTCAAAGTTTGAACCCTAATAAGAGTGAAAATTGGTTAACAAGAGAACACAATCGAAGTTTTATACCGTGGCTAAAAGAACACATTTTTTCAGAATTTGCTAAAAATCCTGATTCAATTTCAGAAAGATTGAGATGGCTAGCAAATGGTCCAAATTCAAATGTTCTATCGTACTCTGGTTATATAATTAACAAGTATACATTTTATACATAAGAACATGATCATCAAAGCACTGTGCAAAATAGCGGTGTCACACTCGTAGCTGAATCTGTGCATATCTCAAGTTCCAAAAATAGAAATCCCGCATTTTCCAAATTGTCATATTTTGGGGTCATTGAACGTATTTGGGAATTGGATTACTCATGCTTTCAAGTGCCCGTGTTTGGTTGCAAGTGGGTTGACAATAACAATGGCCTTCAAGTTGACCCTGGGTTCATGAAGGTCGATCTTAATAAAGTAGGGTATAAAGACGAGCCTTTTATTTTAGCATCACAAGCTCACCAAGTGTTCTATGTCACTGATCTTGCTGATGAAAAGTGGTCTATTGTGTTTCTAAGTAACAAAATAAATGATCACACCACTCCAAATATAGATGTTGAGGATGACCCTTTCTTTAATACTTCACAATCCCTTGAGTCTGAATCAATTATAGATGATATTCTTTATATGAGAAACGATCACAGTGATGGGATTTGGATCAATCCATCATTTTATGTAACTAGAAAACAGAAAAGTAGGAATCCAACTACAAGGAAGAGGAAAAGGCCGACTTAATCTTGTATGGTTTATTTATTTGTTTTTCATTTTTTTTATTGTTATTGCTTCTTAATGTTATTCTTGTATGGTATATAACTTTTTAAATTTTTATAGGTGAAATATGGCTTCTATTGATGATGAAAGTGGTTCGTCTAGTAAGAAAACAGTTGGTAAACATGGTGTGACCCGATTGCAAAAAATTCACAAAGCCAAAAGCAATGGAAAGAGAATTGAGGTAAAATAGCTAATAATGGAAATTTTGAGAATTTGAATTATATTCTGTTTAGTGTTTATATGCATCTAATAATGGAAATTGTGGTCTATATATTTACAAGTCATGTTCTTGTTAGACTTAATTAGTTCAATTATTGCATTAGTTATATCGATTTATTATTATTAGTTTATAATAATCATTCCTTATTTTATGCGCTTCTTGTTAGACCCATATTAAATGTTTGATTATTCTTTATATGTTGAATTAGTTTTTATTGTACAATACATAATCAATATTCCTTCTAGTGATGTTTTTATAGAAGAATTTTGACATAAATGTTTTTTAAAAAATAAAAAAAATTAGGTAATAAATATTTTATTTTATTAAAAAAGTATATATAGTAATATGTATATTTTATACTATATGAAAAATATTTTATTTGTCGTTTTAATATTTTCCTATATTATTATATTATAATCAAATGTGTAATAAACTTGTGAAATCTATAGAGAATAAAACTAAAACAGACAGTAAAATATTCAAAATAATTTACTATAAGTTGTCTCTATATTTCTTTATAGATTAACTAATTAAATATCTTAGTTTTTAAATTCAAATTTTTAAAATAATGATTAAAAGGGATTGCATATCCAATATTCAATTATAGAAGATCTTTATTTTTGAGAAATTACAATGTTTAATGACGAACATGAATATTTAAACTAAAAGAGAAATATGCACAAATGTTGACGTTGAATCAATATAAATATATTCCACCAAACTAAATACCATAATTTGAATATTAATGCATATCTCTCTTTTAAAAAAAAATACTAATTGAAATATTCATACATATCTCTATTTTAGTTGAATTAATTTAGATGATTAGATTAAATATAAATATTGATAATGCAGCAAACGTACGACAGTTTCGAAGTATTAAATTGGTTCAATTTGTTTAAGAGAAAAATTGGAAATTACAATTTTCTTAATAATTAAAAGTAATGGTCTAAGACTTTGATTCCATCTCCAAACATCGCTTATACAAGTTTCATGCCGATTGTTAATAAGAACTTTAATTTTGTAGGAAACGCTAAAACTAGTGGCAATGCCCACTTTCATTGGTGCACTGCCAGATTCTAAATCCATGATATACTTCCTTTATGTAATACTCTCTAAAACTCTGCAGAATATTACGTTATAAATCAGAGTAAATATCACATGCATTTCAAAAGCAAGGGTGTCACACTTACTTCATACATAACAACTTCTGTCATGCTCAATAACACTAAATTAAATTAATGATTTTCATATCACTTTCATTAAAATAAATATAATATCTAGGTTTCCAAAATAAAATTTATTTATTTAATCAACTTAGGCATACAAGTCACTTCACTACATAATTCAAATTACGATAATAAAATAATGTTGAGTATACAATGTATCTTTAAAATATATATCCAAACGTTTATCAAGTGTTACATAATCAGATGATGACTCAACCCAAAATAAATACGGAAATAAAATAAAGATAGCTTCTTCAACTTCATTCTTGCCAAAGCAACTCTAAATATAAGTACCTGAGCGATGTCGTATAAAACATTATTCCAACAGAAGAGTCAGAATTCATATAATTATTGAAATCATATAATAATATATAATACATAACACTCATGTATAAAAATCACATTCTCACACTTCATATGTTTAAAAAACATAACATCCCCCAAATACTCATACTATTCACAAGTATTCATTTATCATTCACAATTTCTCAAAATACAACAATCCCACATAGTTCACATAATTTCATATTGCAAACATACACACGATATGACTCAATGTAACTCAAATGAAATATTCATGCTTGTGGTACCCATCAGTGTTATATTTATTCGGTTTTTACTTTATACTGGGTTCATCCTCTAGACCAATAACACACAAAAAGCATGTCCTCTAAGCTTTCAAACTCCTATCTTGGTTTGGGACAAGTCACTAGCTCCCTCAGAACTAACAAGCATGCCTCTTGAAAACAAATGATACATGTGTGTTGTACCACAAAAGTTTCCCTCCCATTTCCAAGATAAATTAATTGAATACACTCCCTCAGGCTCATAGAAGTTTCAAATGCTCAAGACTTCTCAAGGATTGATAAGACAAGTCCTCCTTCTAAGAAATTCACATACAACTAGGGTTTTGTTTTTCTTAAAGGAATTGAGCTTCTAATGCCTCTAGTGGGTTTCATAGTTCCTCATATGCTTCAAAGAATTCTCATGCTAGGTTTCAGGCCTTACTTCACAAGTTTGCTTAGTCAATTGCTCATACGAGTGAAAATCAGTTGTATTGGATAAAAAGTCAACATTGATCAATCTACAGTCAAACTTCAAGATTTTTTGTCAACATAAATATTTTGAAGTCACATTCATCATTTGATCAAAGGGTTGATGATGATTTATTAAGAAAACTCGAGTTTCATCAAAAGTCAAAAGTTACTAAATCAGGTTTTTTTAAGGAGAAGTCAACTGGACTTTTACCAAGCACAAATTTTACACACTTCATCATAAAATTCTCAACCAAACCCTATTTTGAAGGAAATTGAATTCTCTATAACTTTGTCTCTCTAAGCTCAAAGCCAAAATGCCTCATTTGAGAGATATGAGCAAAAACTTTACAGGTCATTTTGAAAGTCAACAAAAAGAGACTTTTTGTTAAGGAAACTTACATCAAATTACGTATTTAAAATGAAAGAGTAATCAAAATGAAATTAGTAGGAGACATCTTGAGGTTTCCAAAAAGTCCTAGATCACCTTCATATGACAAAATTTAAGAAAGTTATGTGTTGTGCAAGTTGAGCAATTTTGGAGAAAGTGCATGAAGTTCAATTTGAGCAAACTTGAATTTTTGGACTAATGGATCTAT